CCAAAGCCGCCAAGTACCGAACACATTAGACAATTATTTTCCGTTGCCACATATGGAGGGAAATGTGTTGCAAACACCCGAGTCCAACAATTTGTTGTTAAAAATTAAAAAAATAAAACATAAGTGCACCCCCAAAAAAATTGTAAAGAGGCGAACTAATGACGGCTAATGGGAAATGGCTTATGGCGGCGGTGGGTTTTATTTTTTTTATAAAATGTTTGGCGTGGCACAGCAAGATGCTTAGATATCAGACAAGGCAATTGCAATTGTCTTTTAATTTTTAAACCAACCAAGCTGTCAGAGCTGCAAAACTGCAAACGCCAAACGCCAAACGCACAATGGCCCAAGACCCCAAAGACCCCGTTGTTGTCTATAGTTCCAAGTTGCGTCAGATACTGGCGGCCAAACCCAGACGCCAACATGTAACTGCATTGAAATTGAATAGGAATTGGAATTGAAAATGAAAATATATAAATTGGCGTAGTCAATGTGCCGGGCGATGACTGTTAAAAACGCCATAAGTCATGTTCGGGGAGTGGGTCGGATAATTAATAAGCGCTCCCAATCCGTAATATACCGTTGAGTAGCAGTCCCGCCAGTTTCGCCTCGCCAGGCAGGGCCTTACATGCATAATTATATGGGAGCACTACGAGTCTGGTACATCCCCATAGAGGCACACATATTCGACTGTTATGCAAACCCATCACTATTTGTTATGGAGGGGCGGGTCCGCAGAAGGTTGCACTTCAAAAATAGCTGCCGTTGCATGGCAAACATCAATTAAAACCATCGAACAGTATAGTTTCTTCGGACAAAATCAAAGTAATACACAAATAATATTAAATAGCTATGTTTGGATCTCGTTCTCTATGCATTTCAATAACAGACCTCATGTGCAAATGTTTATAATAGAAATAATATACTTTTTTTTGCCATCCCAAACAAACAAGAGGTCATAAAAATCAGCTTTGTGCAGTCTTTTGATTTTTATTGGCATTTTTGTTTGTTTATTCCTTTTGGCTGAAATACATAAAATTTACCCACGTTTTGTTTATTGGCGAATTTTGGACTTCAAACGCGTGCTTTATGTGCAGTAAAAAATATTACAAAAAAGCTTTGATATACTATATGTTCTTTATGACCAGCTAACCCAGAGCTTAAATTATTTTTAACTTTTCAATGGCGTGCATATGAATGAAAATCAATTTGAAACCCAGTGAAACCACTAAGCAAAGTACCGAGAAAACACTTTTTAGCTGAAGCTTAGCAATTGCAGAAAAATGTTACGTATACGTAACAGAAATAGGGTAAACTATTTGCAAAAGGGTAGGAAGTGATTGTGCAAAAGAATGGCGTGAAAATCGATCAAACAAGTGCTAACCACTCGAGAAACTAAAGAAAATAGTAGGAACAAAAGCTGAAAATAAATATTATTCGCTGAGCAAACGTTTACGCATTTGTCATTGTTAATAGCAAACGTTCTGTGATTTATGAAACAGTTGCTACCTGGATTTATTGCAAATGCGCCTGATAATTGCCTTGGTGTCTGGCACCCTGAAGAACTGCCAACTGTTTGGGTTCCCTAGCCAAGTGGTAGGAAGATCTCCTGCTGTTTGGTGGGAAGCTACATGGGTGCTGCTGTGTTTGCTGTGTGTGTTGGCTGTCTCTAATCACTCGACAAGCCCCAAAACCCTGCTGGCTAGTGTACTAACAGCCGACTCGAGTGGTGGGCAGCCTAATTGAGCGGCTCTGTCGCCCAGGCCAAGTGCGTTTTTCCGTTTGTCATGGCGCACAACGATGCTGAGTTTGAGTCTCAGATGATGATGATGATGATGATCAACCCAATTGCCATGGCGAGTAATAAAACTTGAGGAATCAGCAATGCGTGGCAGCTGTGCGGAGATGGTAGTTTGCGCCCACGACGACGATTCAGCGATCCCAGCGATGATGATGTGGAGTTGATTGGGACGACCCAAGACAGTGGTCGACATTGGAAAAAAAGTCCACAAAAAATTGTAGAAATTCAAATCATTTCCAACTTTTGCAATTCAAGATGAAGACGATTTTATGGTGTTCAGTTTTTTTATTTACTTCCAGTAAAAGCTTTTAACACATTTTTCTTATAATTTAAAAAATACTAAAAATGTAAAAAATACCAAACTCCCAAAATTTGGAGATTTTAGTTCCAGTACTTGCAATTCAAGATAATACGTTTTATTTGTATAATACATTTTGCACTAAAATCGCTTTAAAACTAAAGACATTTTTTCGAATAATCTTAAAACAAGAAATTTTATTGATACCAAATATTTTTAGAATACTTTTTCCTGTACTTTAATTTTTTTCTTTTTTTTTAAACCCAAAAAAGTTTAGTTCTTTCTCCACTGTTCCACGCCTTCTGAAAAGCAATCCGTATCAGCCACTAGGCGCAGCTTGAGAAGATACAACTTGAAAACAGTGACAGACGCCTCGTTCGAGTGACAAGGAAGCACTTGTGTCTATATGGTCTATAGGTTGATTCGAGTGAGTTGTGATTTGCATATGTGTCTCCGAAATACAGTGCACAGTGTATATATGCCGCATAGGAAACTCTTTTATTGTTTGGCCGTAGATTTGTCTGACTATTTTTCCAGGCCGTGGGCCAAAAGGCCAGATCCACGAGTTAATTGAGCAATGAAACTCAGAAATCATAAAGCCAATCGCGATGCTCGAATGGATGACAGTACCCCGACATTGAGCTTACTTTTTATCCATTTTTCACGTTGTTTTTTCTTTGCCTTTGAGTGACAGTCAGTCGGCTGAATTGTTGAATTGTTCGGTTTCAATTTCGTGGTTGACAATGGATTTTGCTATATAATTACACGATCTTCAATGTGACTTCTCCACCACTTCCCATGCTTTGATGTTCGCCACGCTCCACAGGCAAGTCGGCCAAAATACAAAGTAAAAACCCCGAATGAAAGACAAAAATTAAAAAAAATAAAAATGGGGAGGAAAAGTGCATGGCGATTATGCAAGCCATGGAATTATGAGCTGTGCTTCCTGGGCCCCTCTCGGTTAATTAGCTATTAAATAATGGAATGGCCCAGCCATGTCATGTGAATGTGGGCCAATTTTCATGCTTCATTTGCAATGATTTTGCCATTAGTCTCTAGTCTCTGACCAACATTTCCGACTGCCGACAAAACTCCATCGGTAGTCAGTAGTCTGCATGCAATCAGCAGAGTTTTTGTTTTTTTTTCTGCTTTTTCTTAGCTCACCTCTTTTACTTTTTCTTGGCGGCCGAGAACAACAGAAAACAGACAACCCAGTTGCCTGGTTTTGGCTCTCGCCAACGTTTGTTTGATCAATAGCTATAGGTAAAGCTGAAGCTGAAGCTAAAGCCGGCTTACCATCGGCTGCCAGCAAATTTATGTTTATTGCATGTGAAAGTATTTTGCCAATCAATTGAGCTGCCGCCGCTCGAGAAACATTCTCGTCCAGTGAAAGCTCTCCACCCGGTTGACAAACAAATCTGCCAACAATGGTGCACTTAGAGAAAATATATTAAATAATACTAGATGTTATTAAATGGGACTAGAAAATGTTTCAATTTTTCTAGGTTCTGAAACCATATTCGATTGACCTTTAGGGTTTTCACATATAAATGGGCCTTACTTTTAAAATCTTACTGCAAATTGCAACCAAATAGCCTTTTTTGTTGTTATCGAAAATATCGATATTTAAACAATCTTAGATATTTTCGATATTTTTGTCGATAGGTATTTTCCTTTAAATACTGCCCAAATTTTATTGTACCCCATAAATTTACTGTGTAGTTCCCGTTTCTTTTCCAGACCAGATGCTGGAGAATAGGAAAATAGAAATAAATAGACAAAATGCAGAGAAAAACTACTTTTACTTGGCCCGGCCATCTGTGGCCTGTTCTAGTTTGCAGTCGGTTCAGTCAGTCGTTGACTTGGCCTGCGTTGAATAGTCATGGCCTGGGCCAAACACACAGCATGATTGTCACAAATTGCTGCATCGATTGCTGTTGCAACTACATATGTTGCTGGTTTGCTGCTAGCTGGTTGCTAGTTGCATGTTGCTGGCGTGCATGCAGCGGCTGCATTAAGCTGCACTTTTGCTACAGTTTTCTCCACGGGTCGCCGGCCAGCGGGCGATCGCTCTCCCGAGCTCTGCAATTCATCAATCATAATTTGTATGTCATTCACTAATCGTTCGCACTGCTCCCGAACTTCCGAGCACCCGAGCTCCTTGTCCAGCGATTGCCCCACCATGATGATCAATTCAATTTACTTCAAGTAACGCAATGTGGTGTTTTCTCTTCAGTAATTATCGATCGATCCCATTGGGGCCCTTGCGTAAATCCCCTTGATAATGACTTATGGCGGTGTAAGCCGATCTTGGGGCTTAAAGTGCAGCCCATCGCACTTGACCATCGAAAGCCGAACCAACAATGATTCATGGGTTTTTCCCATCTGCGTGCGTGATCGACGAGTGCTGTTGGGAAAAGTTTTATGTTAATTAATGAGCCATAGAATATTTCGCAGTATCAAAATGTTTATTTTTCAAATTAACTAAAAGCTATTTACATTAAGATAAATTACTTAAATTTGTTAATGGATAAAATCAAGCTGTAGATTTATACAAATTGGTTGGGAAACTTGAGCTTACAAAGGGAGGCCACAAAAGATGACTGGTGGTTAACCCTGAACTTTGGTTAATGGAAAACTAAATACATTGTATGATTTCAAGTCCAAAAAGATTTTCAATGAACTATGTTTTATTCAAAACGAAAACCCAAGTTAAAACAGTCTTTATAATCCTTATATACTTCTAATAATGTGTACAAACATACATATTAAGCTTTGGAAAGAATGCCAAAACGGCTGGGGAATAAAAATCATTGTTTTTTTTACCTTTTAAATGTTTAATATTTAGTAAGCCACCCTGCAGAATATTAAATTAATAAATGCATTTTTTCCCTATCCTTACAGAATGAAGGCTTCGGACCTGCAACGCATGGCATCAGCAAAACGGACGGAAGCTGCATCAGCCACCACAGTCAGAGCAACGGGAACGGAATCGGAGGCGTCAACGGGAGCGGAAACGGAAACGTCGGCCACCACCTCGGTGGAGTCCTGCGCACCACTGACCTGGCCAGTGGGGCCATGGAGTGCCTGCCGATGAGCAGCGCCGCCCACCACCCACATTTGATGGCGGGTGCCACGGCGGTCGGAGCTGTTTCCTCCTCCTCGCCCACGGCCACCGTGGTGGTGGGGGCCACGTATCCGCATCACCTGCACCACCACCACCTGAGCCACCACACGCCCTACAGCAACAGCTACGGGAGCCATCACATCCACAGCGAGCAGACCAAATCGCTGCAGGAGCTGCAGCACGAGGTGGGTGCTCTGCTGGAGTTCCGGGATCTGGTCATCGAAACGTTTCCGGACCTCAAGCACAAGATGGCCTCCATGTCCGCCACGCCCTCGACGCCCACATCTTCGGTGGGTGCCATCGGTGGCAGTCACTCGGTGGGTGGCGGCAGCTCCTCGTTAGCCACCAGGTGGGTCTGGGTTTCCATAAATCCGATACAAATATTAAAATGACAGAGTAACTAAATTCCTTGGCTTACCTTTACAGCAGGCGCGAATGGGAGCCGGGTATACGCATGAAGCGGAAGTTGTCGCACAAGGAACCGTCCACGTCGTCAGCGTCGGCAGCTGCTCCTTCTTCTGGGGCGGAAGCGTCGTCCTCGTCGCTGACACGCAGCCGCAGCAACTCGCACAGCGGCAAGAAAGAGCCAAAGAGCGGAGAGAACAACAACGGCAGCGTTGTGCAAGACTCCGGCTTCTCAACGGAGACTAGTTCCTCCAAGGAGGGCCACAGTGCCTCCTCCACCAACGGTGCTATGACTGTGAGTCGCAGGATAATTTCTAAAATTATCAGTTCATAATCTTTCTATCTCCTTCCACAAACAGGTGGCCATAGCAGCAAATCGCCTGAGCTGTGCTGAGTCGGACGATGAGCTGCTCAACCTGCTGGACGTCATCCACCGCAAGTCCAATCGCTTACGCGAAGAGGTGGAGCAGTTGCAGAGCTACGAGCGCCAGCAGGGGAACTCCCAAACAGCAGAGGGAGAGGGCAAGGGTGCCAGCAAGGATGCAATGACGCCGCAGCAATTCCGGGAGCAGGTGGAGCGACTGAATCGCGAGGACATTAAACAGCTGCGCAAGGAGCGTGACCGTCTGCTGGATAAGCTGGCCGAAATGGAGGCGGAAACGCTGACCGGAAGGATCAAGGCGGCCAAGATGAGCGACCAGGTGGAGGAGCTGGTTGGGGTGAAAAAGGATCTCGAGGAGCAGTTGAAACTGGCGATGGCCCAGAAGCTAGAGCTGAGCTCGCGGGTGCAACAGTTGCAGCAGCAACAGCAGCAAAGCAAGAGCTCTTCCAGGTGAGAATCTGCTTCAGAGGATCCTCCTAAAGTATTTTCTTAATATATGTAAAACTAAACGTTTCTTCATTTTTCAGCGCCAGCCAGTCGGATTACTCCAGTCAACGCAACTTTCTATCCTCAGCCACCACGGTGCTCTCCAATGGCAGTCGTCCCAGCAGCAACATCATCAGCAACAACACATTCCAGCCGGTCGTCCTCGATCAGCCAGCGCAGGAAGCATTCCATCAAAGCTCAGGCAGTGATATAACATTGAGGAAACAGCAACAGCAATCCTTGGGACGACTCGATGGCATCGTGAGCACGCCCGGAACGCGCAACTCCAAGTGCCGTTTGACCGACTCCAAGCGATTCGCGGCCATTCTCCTAGAGACGAATGTTCTAGAGCTGCAGCGCCACTTGCTCACCCTCACCGTGCAGAACCAGGTGCTGGCCCAGAAGCTGGACTCGTCCAGCAAGTCCAAGACGCTGCTGGCCAAGCGGCTGGACAAGAGCAGCGAGGAGTTCGAGCATCTGCGCTACCAGCTGGAGGAGAAGAGCATCGAGCTGGAGGGCACCAAGGCGCAGTTGCGTCTGGTGGAGTCCCGCCTGCAGGCGAGCAACAGCACCACCAACTCGTATCTGCACTCCTCGCAGCATGACTACGAGACCAATCGCTCCTCGGCTTCCACCACGCTGATGCTGAGTCGTCGTGGAGTCTCCGACTCTGTGGACTCCGCCTCGACGGCCATGCCCGCCCCGCCAGTCACGCAGATCAGTACGCCCAGCATGAAAGCAATGGTGCCGCTGGCCATGGACGAGCTGCAGCAGCACAGCAGCAGCACGGAGTCGGCGCACGAGCACGAAAATCAAGCGCTTCGAACCCCGACCAGTACCAACTCCCCGCTGAGCAAGACGATTATTAATGCGAGTCCGTGTCCCGTGGGCAGCAGTACGCCCAGTAACATAGCCGCTCGTGTGATGAGCATCAGTGTGGGCGGGGTGAGTCCGTTTGAGTCCGGCATGACTCCGCCGCCGCGACAGAATGCGTTCCGCAAGTTTGGAAGTGCTAGCAAGCCCAGCAAGATTCCACTGCCGGGCAGCAAGGCGGCGGCCTATTTCTCCGGCAAACCCCCAACGGGAAGACCCTCAACGGCGGGACGCTCTCCGCCATCGGCGCACAACTCGAGCAGCACCTCGTACGGCAGTAAATCCTCGCTAAGCAGGAGTACTGGCAATCTGCAGAGCTTGAGGAGAGCGGACACGTCCGCCTCCAACCATTCGCTGAGTACGAACACGAGCCGCAGTTCGACCTCCTCCTCGATACCGCTGGCCACCACACCTTACTCATCCGGCTCGACTGGCAATCGCAGCCAGCCGACAGCCGCAACGACTCCGTCCCCGCGTGTGCTCCAGAATTCGCCGCTGCCCAAGCTGAAGCGGGATACGATCAGCTCGAGGGTGCGTCATCTGGACTCCCTGTCACGTGCCCAGCAGTCGCCGGAGGGCGTTAGGGGCACCACCACCACCTCCATTGCCGCCCAGCTGAGCTCGACGCTGCGCAAGGATCTCCAGCTGAGTGGAAATGGGACGGGGGCTCCCTATCATCAGAACCACCAGAACCACAGGCGCAGTGGCCACTCGCCGGCGTCCAATTCGTCTGGGAGCGGCGTGTCCAGGCGGTACAGTAGTGCCTCGACAGGGGGTTCCGGTGGTCGAGCCATCGGCCGGGATCAGGGCGAGACCATCACGCCCACATCCAGCTATGGCGGCGACAGTGACAGTGGCAAGGTACGCACTCTCAAATCAACATTATTGGGTTGGTTCAAGTGAATTATTATAATACTACTGATAATACCGATACATACATTTATATATATGAATATCTACTGATTACCGTTTAATATGCCTTCGATAACGTTTACGAAACAACAACAAAGAACCACAAGAATCATCATCCTCGTTACAGTTAATGAAATCAAATCAAAACGAATCAAAACCAGAATAGAAATCAGCAGCATACGAATTCGATATTAACTGTCTTCGTTGATATACATAGTAACGTGCATATATATTTATTTAAACATACAATTAACCCACGGCATATATACTCTACATACATATATATACTTCAGTTACATGCATATATATTCGAAATTTATAAAAAATCGATCACGTAAGCGTCCCGTGCCTAAGCAAGGAAATTGTTCTCTGCCCTCGTTGTTTGTCCTTTAATTTGTCAGCTGTATATCGCGAACAGAAAATTCAACAATTTTCAACAGCAAATAGATAATTCAACAATGATTGTTTCCCCAACAGGGAAAGTATTTGTTTCACCAACGGAAACAGTGTATTTAACCAACAATTGATTTCTTGTAGTATATGTCTACAATTTACTAAACAATTGCTCGTTAACTCATATTGTTGAGTATTTTTTTGATAATTCCAATTTGTTTTCAAAACCTATTGCAACTTCATTAACTTGTATCAAGATTTCGTTGTACTTTTTATTTTGTTATTGTTTTTTTTCCCAAAAGATTTTCAAGCCACTTCTTGCCATAACCAAAGTCAGCTTTATGAAGATGATACAAGAAAATCCAAACGTTTGACAACTCAATTCTCCAGTTCAAGAATGGTCAACACACCTCTCACAAACAGTATGTTCAATATAACGCACCCTAGAATACCTTTTCAAGACCCTGCAGCTTTTGCTTGGGTTTGGGTCGTTGACTTAACACTTGGCTAGTGAAAGGTGCCGCCTATCAAACTCTCACTGCCTATCGATGCCTTAGGTGCTCAGTAGCCGGCTTTAATTAATCAGCAATTTCACATGCAACTACAGCAACACCAGCAGCGGCGGCAGCAACAACAACTGCAATGTTTCCTCTATATAGTTATGTATATAAAAAGTAAAACAAAAGTCAAATGCCTGTACAATATCATTTCATTTACTCATATATATTATGCATATCACGATTACTGCGGCTCAGTATATTTTCCTCAAGTATGCATGTCTCATTGTTGGATCAGCCAGAGTTTCTCATTGTGTTCGAAAGCGAGTTTAAGCATAATTATTAGTTTGCGTGTGTATTTAAAATCTATTATTATTATTATTGCTTTCTTTGTAATTATTATAAGCTATACTTAAACTACTTACTGGGCTTAATTTAAAGGCTAATTTATTGATTTGTGTATGAAGCAGATGGGCCTATACCAACCTATGCGTATACGCTATTACATAAAAATATAAAACCGATTAGAGTATAACAGACTTTTCGATTTATTTGTTAAACCTATGAAGAAGGAAATAAATTTCGTGTATTAAAATAACAAAAAAAAAGACTTGCCCTAAGTTAGTTAACTGCTTGCCAGTAAACATATCATTATAAGAGCCTGCAAGGATCTTGGTTTTATCACGTGGTCGATAGCTCATCCGAAGGTCCAACTAACCAAACACTCACTCTCATCCACATTCACACCAGGACAATACACCATCGACAGCATCGAGCGCTTTATTTTGGCTTTGTTTGTGCATTGTGCAAGCCACCCAAGAAAAATTCCAATTAGACGATCACACTTGAAATAATTTGTATCTAATGCTGTAATTTCTTTTTACTTTTACTTTTTCTTTCTGCGCCTTTCTACCCTGTTTGTATGTCTACTCCAAAAACAAAACAAAAAATTTATACTGTCTGTTGTTGTCATAACTCACATATATACTCGTATTTTGTGTATCCGAAAATCTGACCGAACCAAAAAATATCCCCGCAAAAAAACGTATAAATATAAATGTACATAAAAAAATATGTCCAACAAACCAACCAACCAACCAACATAAAAAAACCAACCAACCCAAATCCCAAAAAACCACCAACAGCCCAAAATGTAACTAAAACCATTGTGAAAACAAGCCACTTTTCCTAACAAACGCCAGGCTACACAGAGAAAATAATCATCGGAGTTGGTATGGATAGCAGAAGTTACCCATGTTTGTGGACCTAAGGTGGTGTATACTGATTGACTGATTGATTGACGATGTTGGTGGTGAATACACAAAAGTTTCGACTGCATGCATGCCAAAAAAAACAGAAAGAATATAACCCGAAAAAAGAAATGCGACTGGAGTTTTTGGTGTCGGACAGCCACAGAAAATTGCGATGGCCAAACGAACAGGAGCAGCGCCCTCGCCCAGTACATCCTCCTCAGCTCAGATCAGCTCAGCCCCAAAATCAGCTCAGATCTCTGTCTCGAGCCCTCTGTTGTAAATCGTTTGTCTGTTTTGTTTTTGGCCCAGAAGCAAAGACAATGAAGTAGACACTTTGCCGCCATTCGTTATACGCGTAAGTCTCTTTTGTTGTATCTCACCTAGTAGGTTAAGCTCTACCATTTCTCCAAAACCAATCCAAACCAATCCAATCCACAAATCCCCCACACCGCCAACCCCACGGCTTTCTTTTTGTTTACCCCACACTGAGTTTACACCAACAATGGTTTTTATTTCGATGTAGTTCGTAGTAGATCTAGCCTACCCAGACTATCTAGACCTAGACCCTCACCCTTTCTACAATAGCAAACGGGCAGTGCACACAAAAATACACACAAATTTTCGATTCAACTTTTGAAATTGCCAAGTAAGGTAAACGAAATGAGTGACTTACACGCTGTACATATACTGATTGGTTGATTGATTGATCGCTCTGTGCTAACAAAAAAAATGATATACCTATATATATATTGTGCCCAAGGTTGAGGGATCTAACCGCTGTTCAAGAGAACAATTCTCCCGCTACATGCTAACCCCAAACAACTTTTGTGTTTTCCTAACGATCTATTACCATTCTTTTCGTTAATGTGCCTAAACAGCCTTCTAAACCCATTCTTGTTTCTATTTTCGTTCTAATTCTGATTGCTTGATTGCACTTTGAACCAAAGATTTGATATACTATTCCGTTTTTTCTTTGCTCTCCCCCAAAATCCCCCGAAAACGATGCTTAGAATTTGGCCAACAACGTTGAAAAGCCAAATTTACGTCTCAATAACCACAATTGGCAACTATGGCAAACGAGCAACAGCAGCCAGGGAAAGGTTCAAATGGAACGATATCTGCCCCACGAGCTGCACGATGTGTCCGAGGAGACGGCCTACGATTCGTACTACACTGAGTACACCACGCCCGATTCCATGGACTGTGGCAGTGCCAATCTCCTGGTCACCTTCGACTATGGCTACAGTGACTCCATCGAGGCCAGAGCTGATCCTGCTGTCCAGGAAGATGATCGGGGCGAAGGTGCTGATCCTGATGGTGGTGATGGGTATGCGGACGTGGAGGGTGCCATTTGGTTTGGCACTCCGCCGAAGGATCGGAAGGACGCTAAACTGTTTGAGGTGCATCATGTGCAGCACAAGCTGCTGGATGACAGCCTGCAGTCCCTGATCTCCTACGACGTTGATGATTTTGAGGAGGAGGAGCTATCGGAACCAGAGCCCGATGAAGAGATCTTCTATGACAGCATTGAGTGCGTTTAGGACTCCATAGGCAGGTGGCAGTGGTGTTTGTTTAACTTAACCAACTATCATATCTAAACTAGTCCTTATTTTCAAACCCTCTTTCATATACGGTTTTGTAATTTTCAAAAGAAAAAGGTTAAATATGTGTATGTAGCTGTAGTATAGTGTTATGTGACGTGTATAATGTTGATTTTAATGTATTCGGCTTAACTATCCAAGGGCCCTGCAATGAACGATTGTAATTGAAACGAATTGTGACTGAATTGGATTGATCGTAATGTTTGTTTTCCCCCGTTAACCATTCAGGGCTTTAGTCTGTACGCTTGATGGTTTCTTCGACTATTTATTGGTAATCCCTACTTTGTATGTATTATTTAGAGTGTGCATCTTTGTAAGAGTCTTAAGTTAGTTATCCTGCACCATTGCCTATTTACTCAAAACTACATTTAATTTACTCGTACTAGCCGGCTAAGTAGCTTAGTTGTTAATCAAATTTAGTTAACACATCGCATCTAATGTATGTATGTACAGTTTGATATACTACCTAATTATGTACGGATTCTATTTAAGTCGGAAGGCAAATGTAATAGGGTCTATCTATCATGTTATCACGAAACTGCGTTTACTACATTTATAAATCCAACAGACATAGAAGTGAGGGAAACCAACAATTATGATTCATATTAAAGCTAATAATAATATATATTCAAAAAAAGGCAGCAAATGTAGACATGTATCCATTTAAACAGCAAATGTAATTGATAAACACATATAAATGAAGAAAAAACAAAAATAAAAAATATTAAAAATACATATGATGACGGGTTTTCATTCAATATTTTGGATTGTATGGGTAAGTTTAAGACTATGGTTTTTTTTAACAAATCAAACGGATGAGTAGTGTTAGCATTGAATATTCTAAAATCAATAACCATATGAAATATATATTTCTGATAAAATATTTGCAAATCAATATTCTAAAATCAATAACTATAGTAAATATATGTTTCTGATAAAATATTTGCAAATCAATAAATGAGATACATAAACCAAGTTTTTTATCAATCAATCAAAGTTAACGCCCAGCTTGTTGGACGGGTTTTCAATGGTCGCCAAGTGGCAGAAATTGAAGTTGATTGAAATTCAAATTTTGTAAATGCAGTGCGAATTTTCAAACCGCTTTCCTCTCTCAAATATATGCACAAATAGCCATTTTTCGAAACCCACATAATTGAATAAGAGCGTGAAAGAGTCGGAGAAAGGCAGGGTCTCTCATGTAAGCACCGCTCTCTTATGGGAGCATTCCCCAATGGAGCACTCGGTGCTCGAGACTGGGTCTCAGGCTCAACCAGTTGGCTATGTGCGCTCCGTGCCAGCAGAACATTTCCGGAACGGGTTTCGGCTGCGTTCAATAAACCCAGACCCTCGAAAGGCATTCGGTTCGGGACTAATAAACCGATTTTAAGAACCAGCCGCCGATTCACCGACTCACCGAGACCTCCATAAATGCCAAAAACCGCAGATATGTGCTTATCACAACCCTGCGAACGCCGGTAAAATTGGGGGCCGCGAAAATCTGATACCAGCAACATGGATTTCGAGGAGATTTTGGCCAAGTGCGGCAACAGCAGTCGTTATCAGTTCGTACTGCTGGCTCTTTATGGCTACCTTATGATCGTCGTATCGATGCACTATTTCTCGCAAAACGTCATCAGTTTTGTGCCCGATCATTGGTGTTACCACGAACAGCTGGTGAATCGCAGCTTCGCAGAGATCGAGGCGACATATTCCCAATTCGAGAGGCCCTCTTGCACACGACTGGAGAAGATTGATGAGGATGGGCAGAATCACACGCTGAGCACGGAGCGATGCAATCGGTGGATCTACAAGTACGACTTTGGATATAAAAGTATGAATACGGAGGTGAGTTTTCATGGTTTTTGGGGGATATATATATTCAATGGTTTATTACTTTAAAAACATGAATTTCTAAAAAAAAATATAGCCTTTTGTGAGTCAGTATCTATAGAAAGTATTTTATACTAAACTACACTATATAGTATACTACAGTTTAATTAAATTAATTCTTGTGGTAATGTTTTTATCTCAGAAATCGCATGCTTTCAAAAAGTAATGTTAGAGAAAAGGGTTATTCTTATTTTAAATTATTTGTCAATAAAAACGAGTCTTAAAATTCAAGAAATTGTTTTAAACATTTGTTTAATAAAAGGTTATGGATTATACAGTTAGTAATAGGTATTATTATGAATTTATAGCTAAACTGGGTGTGCGATGAGGCTTATAAGCCCCGTGTGGGTCAGTCCCTGTTCTTTGTGGGTTCAGTGTGCGGAACTCTAGTCTTTGGCTTGCTTGGAGATCGTATAGGACGCATTAAAGCCTTAATTTTGGCCAACTGGTGTGGCTTCCTTGGCGATTTCTCAACTATATTCGCCAATAGTCTGACTTCGTTTTCAATCAGCCGATTTGTATCTGGATTGGCGGCTGATGCAAACTCTTATCTCATGTATATACTGAGTAAGTAATTGTGGGGATATGTTTTTTAAGGACTACTTATAATGCTAATTTTGATTAGTTCTCGAATATGTCTCGCCCTCATTAAGAAACGTGGGACTTAATACAGTTTTGGGAAGTTTCTACTGTCTTGGCCTGGTCGGAGCCTCTTGGCTGGCCGTTTGGGTTGGCCACTGGCGCATTTTTCTGGCCTGTTCCTCGGTTCCCCTCCTCCTGGTTACACTTTTCTACTTCCTCGTACAGGAGAGCGCCCAGTGGCTGGTCACACGCAACGATATCGATGGAGCCATCAGGAGGCTCCAGCGCGTGGCCAAAATAAATCGCCGCCAGGTGGCGGATGATGATTTTAGGACGTTTCGTAGCTACTGTGAGCAGCACTACCGCAAGGACATCAAGGAGGATCAAAGTGAGGACAAGCTGTTGGATATGCTTAAAACGCCGCGCATGCGCAGCACGGGATTTAAGTTGCTACTTATTTTGTAAGTAATTGAAGGCTTTTTTTTATTTATTACAATCATACATAATTGATTTATAATTAGCAAAAGCTATTTTACAAATAGTATTGGTCTATATTTACATTGGTCGTTAGCAAAACCCTGCTCACCTCGTATACTGTACGTGTCGGCAGAGCAACGGTAGTGAAATTTGTACCCCTTGGGCAAATAGCTTTTGCATCCTGTCATAAATCAATTGTATTAAGTAGTTTATTTATTAACTTATTCCGTATAGTGACTATAGTGATAGTAATTATTTTATTTATTACTTTCGCAGCATTATTATTACGCCCTGCTACAACACCATCGCTCGGAACGTGGAGGGTCTGGGCATATCGCCCTTCATCATGTTCTCCCTGAACGCCCTGACCCTTCCGCCCTCGGGATACCTACAGGGTCTGCTGCAAGATCGGATTGGACGCAAGGCCACCGCGGTCAGTTGGATGACCATAACTGGATTATTCGCCGCCGCTGCTGGTCTGGTGATATCGCAAGGAAGCAATAGGAATATACTCCTACTAGTGGGTCTAACTTTAGCGGCTAGGTTTGGAGTGTCCATCGCGGATGGCGCCAGTT